CTCTGCTCTACAATGGTGCCCTGCGTGAGTGTCTGTGATGTGGGTTGCGAGGCACAGGTGTGGGGGCCCAGCCTAACTTGGCCCTCCACCCACTCCCCACAGCCTGTCAGTGCGACCCCCAGGGCTCGCTGAGTTCTGAGTGCAACCCCCATGGCGGTCAGTGCCTATGCAAACCTGCAGTGGTTGGACGCCGCTGTGACCTTTGTGCCCCTGGCTACTATGGCTTTGGTCCCACAGGTTGTCAAGGTATTTGCCTGCCCCGTCTTCCCTCCTGTCTGTGACTGTTCTGCCTCCTCTTTCTGGCTCTCCTTCTCCTGACTCTGCATTAGACCCCGTACTCTCAGCCCTGGGTCACTTAAAGTTCTCTGCCATCCCCGGACCTTCCCACTCTGACCCCACCCAGATTCTCCCCAAACCCCTTCCCTGGCTCAGCCTTTGTCTTGCCCCCAGCCTGTCAGTGCAGCCCCGAGGGGGCACTCAGCGGCCTATGTGAAGGGATCAGTGGGCAGTGCCCCTGCCGAGCTGGTGCCTTTGGGCTTCGCTGCGACCGCTGCCAGCGTGGCCAGTGGGGATTCCCTAGCTGTCGGCCATGTGTCTGCAATGGGCATGCAGATGAATGCGACGCCCACACAGGCGCTTGTCTGGGCTGCCGTGATCACACCGGGGGTGAGCACTGTGAAAGGTGAGCCTGGAGTAGCTATGAGTGGGTTGGTGGGTGGGTAAGCTGCTCAGAGATGACACATCTCTTCCTGCCCCTTCATGCAGGTGCATTGCTGGCTTCCACGGGGACCCACGGCTTCCACATGGGGGCCAATGCCGCCCCTGTCCCTGCCCTGAAGGCCCCGGGAGCCAACGGCACTTTGCTACTTCTTGCCATCGGGATGGGTACTCCCAGCAGATGGTGTGTCACTGCAGGGCAGGCTACGCGGGTAAGTGGGTAAGGTAAAGGTGTGGGATCAGGGAAGGGCAGCTGGGCTGAGCACTCACGCCTTCCCCCTGACTGTGGGCAGGGCTGCGGTGCGAAGCTTGTGCCCCTGGGCACTTTGGGGATCCATCAAGGCCAGGTGGCCGGTGCCAGCCGTGTGAGTGCAGTGGGAACATTGACCCCACGGACCCTGATGCCTGTGATCCCCGCACGGGGCAATGCCTGCGCTGCTTACACCACACGGAGGGCCCACACTGTGCCCACTGCAAGCCTGGCTTCCATGGGCAGGCTGCCCGACAGAGCTGTCACCGTGAGTGTGTGTGGGATGGGAGGGGATGGCTAGGGTGGGGCTCCGCTGCTTGGGCTCCCCTTGATTAGTGTGCTCATCTTGGCTGGCACAGGCTGCACCTGTAACCTGCTGGGTACAGATCCTCAGCAGTGCCTGTCCAATGACCGATGCAACTGTGATCCAAGCAGTGGGCAGTGCCCATGCCTCCCCAATGTCCAGGGCCCTACCTGTGACCGCTGCGCCCCCAACTTCTGGAATCTTACCAGTGGCCACGGCTGCCAGCCTTGTGCCTGCCACCCAAGTCGAGCCAGAGGACCCACCTGCAATGAGGTATGGGGCCCTCCTGTGAATACCTAGGTGGATGGGGCCAACTATCTGCCTCAAGTCTCAAGGGCTCAGCCTCTCATTGAGGCTCTGACCTCTGCTCTGCTCCCACTCTAGTTCACAGGGCAGTGCCACTGCCATGCTGGCTTCGGGGGGCGAACCTGTTCTGAGTGCCAGGAGCTCCACTGGGGAGACCCTGGGTTGCAGTGCCGTGGTGAGAAACCCAGCAGGGCCAGGGTGGTTGGGGGCCTTTCCAGGATGCCCTGCTGGTACCCTAACTCTGTGGTCTATCCTTTCCTGCAGCTTGTGATTGTGACCCTCGTGGAATAGACACACCTCAGTGTCACCGCTCCACAGGCCACTGCAGCTGCCGCCCAGGTGTATCTGGCGTGCGCTGTGACCAGTGTGCTCGTGGCTTCTCGGGTGTCTTTCCTGCCTGCCACCCCTGCCACGCATGCTTCGGGGACTGGGACCGCGTGGTGCAGGACTTGGCTGCCCGTACTCGGCGCCTGGAGCAGAGGGTGCAGAACCTGCAGCAGACAGGTGTACTCGGTGCCTTTGAGAGCAGCTTCTGGCAAATTCAAGAGAAGCTGGGCACTGTGCAGGGGATTGTGCGTGCCCGCAACACTTCAGCTGCCTCCACTGCACAGCTCGTGGAGGCCACAGAGGAGCTGCGGTGCGGATGGGCCTGAGATACATGGTGGGATGTGGCAGAGGCCCAGTGGACCAGGGCTGAAACCTCTATAAACACTTCCCTCCCCTCTGGCACAGGCGTCAAATTGGGGAGGCCACTGAGCACCTGACCCACCTGGAGGCAAAGCTGACAGATGTGCAGGATGAGAACTTCAATGCTAACCATGCACTAAGCAGTCTGGAGCGAGACGGACTTGCACTTAATCTCACACTGCGGCAGCTTGACCAGCATCTGGACCTGCTGAAGCATTCAAACTTCCTGGGTGAGTTGTTGGTCAATTAAGCAGGTGGGCCAGGGTTGATCTTCAGCTGACTGCTTGCCTGTACCCAACTTAGGAGCCTATGACAGCATCCGCCATGCCCACAGCCTGTCTGCAGAGGCAGAACGTCGTGCCAACATATCGGCCTTGACAGTGCCCAGCCCTGTGAGCGACTCAGCAGCCACCCGGCACCGGACAGAGGTGCTGATGGGTACCCAAAGGGAAGACTTCAACCGCAAGAACATAGCCAACCAGCGGGCACTGGGAGAGCTCTCTGCCCGTACCCACGGCCTGAGCCTGACAGGCATAAATGAACTGGTGAGGCACAAGCATGGGGTGGGACACGTGGGCATGGCTGTTCCTTCTACAGGGCCTTGACTTGTTCTGTGCTTGGCAGGTGTGCGGGGCCCCAGGAGATGCACCCTGTGCTACGAACCCTTGTGGGGGTGCTGGCTGTCGAGATGAGGACGGGCAGCCCCGCTGTGGGGGCCTCAGCTGCAGTGGGGCAGTAGCCATGGCGGACCTGGCCCTTGGTCGGGCTCGGCACACACAGGCAGAGCTGCAGCGGGCACTGGCAGAAGGTGGTGGACTTCTCGGCCAGGTGGCAGAGACCCGGCGGCAGGCAGGCGAGGCACAGCAGCGGGCCCAGGCAGCCCTGGACAAAGCTAATGCTTCCAGGGGACAGGTGGAACAGGCCAATCAGGAACTGCGGGAACTCATCCAGAGTGTGAAAGACTTCCTGAGCCGTGAGCCTCCCGTGTGGCCCAGGCCATGTGGTTGTTTTCCTCTGTGTCTGTGTTCATACGTGTGTCCCTGCATTCATACTTGAGTTAGGTCCTGCACTGGACCTGTATTTATGACCTCATGTCTGGCCCCCAAGCCCTTGGCTGTATGTGGTCCTCAAGTCATGACCCTGAGTATATACCCCACATATGGTCCCTGTCCTTATGGTTACATCCTTATGCCTATTAGCAAATCCATATCCCATGTATAGTCCCTGAGTCCATACCCCAAGACTGTGTCCCCATACCCATGCTGGAGAATGTGTCCCTAAGCTCTTGCCTGTGTCCCTAAGCTCTTGCCTGTGTCCCCATAGAGGAGGGGGCTGATCCTGATAGCATTGAGATGGTGGCCACACGGGTGCTAGAGCTCTCCATCCCAGCATCACCTGAACAGATCCAGCACCTGGCTGGCGCAATTGCAGAGAGGGTCCGGAGCCTGGCGGATGTGGACACAATCCTGGCGCGAACTGTGGGAGATGTGCGTCGGGCGGAGCAGCTACTGCAGGATGCACAGAGGGCACGGTCTGACCCCAACCCTGGCCCCCATCCTTGACACTTGGTCCTGATACTTGCAGGCCCTGATTCCCTCTCTTCCCCAGGAGCCGGGCTGAAGGTGAGAAACAGAAGGCAGAGACAGTACAGGCGGCACTGGAGGAGGCCCAGAGGGCACAGGGTGCTGCTCAGGGTGCCATCCAGGGGGCAGTGGTTGATACACAAGACACAGAGCAGACCCTGAACCAGGTGTGGTCTCTTTGGGACATCAGTGGGGCAAGGTTATGGACATGCATTATAAACTTATTTAACCCTGAGCCCACTCATGGCAGGTGCAGGAGAGGATGACAGGTGCAGAACAGGCACTGAGCTCTGCAGGTGAGCGGGCTCAGCAACTGGATGGTCTCCTGGAGGCTCTGAAATTGAAACGAGCAGGGAATAGCCTGGCAGCCTCTAGTGCTGAAGAAACAGCAGGCAGTGCCCAGGGTCGTGCCAGGGAGGCTGAGCAGGTAGGTTGAGGCAAAGCCAACTAGAGGGGGTGAAGGTAGGAGCTGGGCCTCCACTGGACCACCACACTGTCCCTGCCCTCTCATCCCCAGCTGCTGCAGGGCCAACTGGGCGACCAATACCAGACAGTGAAGGCCCTGGCTGAGCGCAAGGCCCAGGGTGTGCTGGCTGCGCAATCGCGGGCAGAGCAACTGCGAGATGAGGCTCGGGGGTTGTTGCAGGCCGCACAGGACAAGCTGCAGCGGCTGCAAGGTGAGGATCAGGGTGGGTGGGCACCAGAGATGTGGGACTGTGGGAACAGAACCCTTCACTGAGACCTGCCCCTCCTAGAGCTGGAGGGCACCTATGAGGAGAACGAGCGAGCGCTGGAGGGCAAAGCGGCCCAGCTGGATGGGCTGGAGGCCCGGATGCGCAGCGTGCTTCAAGCCATCAACTTGCAGGTCCAGATCTACAACACCTGCCAGTGACCCCTGCCAGAGGCCTACCCCAGTCCCCAGGCCCGCCCCGTACAAGTTACTGCCTATGCATGGCACAGTTCCCAACCTGGCAAGCCTCCAATAAACCTCTGTGAATCCCTACTGTGTTGTCTGTGCTTTGATTTGGGGAGGGCGGGATCTCGAGGCTGCCCCCAGCATGGCCCATGAAAGGCCGAGGCACCGGAGCCCCGCCTCCTCCGTGCAGGCCCGCCCCGGAGCTGCTCGTCGCGGCTTGCCCGCTGCCGCCGGAAGTGCGTCACCAACTCGGCGCTAGGCCACCCGCGGCCGTAACTAGAAGTCGAAACAAAACAAGCAGCGGAGGCTGCGGTGCCGGGACGGGGGAGGGGCGCGCCGGAACCGGAACCGACCTGACGCCGGAACCGGAACCGAGAGCGGGTTGCCAAGGCCCGAAGAGGGCTGGCGGCGGCGGCCTCGCTCGGTGAGTGGGACGGGCGGCTAATCGCCTGTCTGGCCGGAGCGGGGAGGCCGCGACGCGGGCCCGGGGCGGACTGTTCAAGGTCATGGGTCGTGCCAGCCTCCTCCCCTCAAGCCCTGCGTCGTGCCGGGCCCACCGATGCAAGACGGGCAGTTACGCTACGCCCATGGCCGGCCTCCTGCCTCGGAAAGGGCTGGCGGCGAGCGAGGGCGGCTTCCTGGAGGAGGTGGTGGCGGGCCCAGGGTTTGGAGGCAAAAGCTAGGTTGCAGCCCGGCCGGGGCGCTGGTCTGCGGTCAGTAACGCTGCGCGGCCCTATTAGACCGGCATCGGTCTCGGAGGCAGTGTCTCTCCCCACCGTTCTCCCCCCACCCCGCGACGTTCCCAGAGGATGGGGGAGGGACGAGACCTTCAGCTGCGGCCCGGGTGCAAAGAGGCGGAGGGTGTCCACTCCTTGACTCTGGACCTTTCGTCTTTAAAGATCCAGCCCACCAGTCACACTTCTGACCTGCAGAAGGTTATCTGCTCCCACATATGCTCTCGGCAACAGAGACGAGTCATTCTCTCTCCTGCTACTGTCTTAGGCCCGGCTTGAGGCAGCCAGGGGTCCTGGATCCAGAGTTTAATCCCCACCTTTATCTCAGTTTTGAGAACTTTATTTTGGATGGAGAAACAGCCCAGAATCCCCTGATGGGTCGGTGAGAAACTGGGTAGACGGTCTCTCTTCAGAGTTGATGAGTGATTGGACCTGTCTGTTTCAGTTTCAAAGTGGGTGCTCGCCCTGCTTTGGCTCTGGGGCAGGAGTGCTGCCAAAAGGGCAATGTGACATCTGGATACCCTTTTCATCCGCGTCTTTGCAGGCCCCTCTTTGCTTGGGACGGCAGATGGAGAGAAGAATCTCTCTTGGGA